TTTTAAGTAGGTAAAACTCTGTAGAAATATAAGCCTCTGATACTAGAAAATGTTTAAGAAGAAAAACCATTTACTATCTGATTCACTGTAGATTGTTAATAGGAAGACAGTTTTGCAGATTATCCAGCTTCCAGCTCAACAGCTAGCTTTCCATTCTGGGAAGGTCCCTTGAAACCATCAGTGAGGTTATGAGAGAAATCATGTAGTAGGTCTGATGATGTGGCAAGAAACAGGACACAAAAGACGGTGGCCAGGATGACTTTCCTTACATGGTAATAGGGTGGCTGCTTGACTGCAGACGTGGCCACACCTCTGCTGATGGCAGAGAAGGCGAGTGAGAGGGCTGAGCCCGTGGTTTTGAGCCTGTCCTGCAGGCAGTGGGGCATGTTGCCACCAGCCCTCTCCAAGGGGCGCCAGATGACACAGCTACTTTCTCATGTAGGTCCTCGGCGAGGCTGGTCATTTGGATAGTAAAGCAAGGTCACACTGAATTCAAGGTCTCACGGTAGACCATGAGGTAGACCAGTCGTTTTGTCTAGCCTAGCTCAAGTAGCAGGAAGCCCAGATTCTAGTCAGGTTCATGATATTTTGCAGCTCCCTAAGAGAAAAAAAATTCCTTGTCCTCCCTTCCCATTTGTTCAAGCAGTTTAAAAGAAAAAAAAAAAGCTGAATCTAAGAAAATCCTCAAGTCTGAAGAAACCGAGTTTAATTCTGAAACTTCATTCCTTCCAAGAGACTACATAATCTGTATGGACGTGTAACAGTAGTGATGGAGAAACTGGTTCTCTTAGGTTTCCCAATAATGTGGCCTTGTTATTTTGCAGGCAGTAATTTTCCATCCAGAGATACTGCCATATACAACTACAAGCACACATCTGCACTCCCACGACTTACATAGATGCTCTTTGAATTATTCACCAAATACACTTTAAGTGTGCCTCAAGGGTCTAGTTTCTAAGCATGTACTATACTTCATAAATGATGATTAAAAAAAAAAAACCTGTTACTCAGATTATGAATATTGGACTGTGCCCTGAATCTTAAACTGAAGCAACTTATCAAAATTGTGACACCTGTAATTATGGTTACTAATGCCATCTTTCAAAATATGTCTGGAAATAATACATCCTCGGTAGGTCATGTGCTTAGTATTTTAGCATTGAGGATTGGTTTTGCTTTAAGTCAGAATTTGTTTAAATAGGACTACTGTATTTATACAGGTATGTTACTGACTTTATAACTTGGCATCTTAAAAAGATAATGACACATTTTGGTGAATTTGAATTTCCAAAATCGTTTGCCAGGTAGGAAAGGAAGAAATTGCATATAGGTTTTATGGCTTTTTATGAATAGACCGTTTCTTTTTGGTCAAAAATACGAAGATGCTTTTAGATTTCTCATGCTTCCAGCAGCAAAAATACAAATAGTGCCCAAAAAGTTCTTTTATATAGACATTTTAAAAGCAGGGTTCTGAGCATTACCTTTTTCATTTGTGGGCCAAGGGAAAGTATATTGTGTTATAAGCCTGTTTTTCACTGCATACATGTCATACATAGTACTTATTAACATTTCTGCTAACAACTTTCGTAATGAAGATTATACCACAAATTAAGATATTCAATTAAATCAGTTGAACAGTGAGAAAATATAGAGAACCCTGTATCCTCATCTCTTACAATTCTTCTGCATGGCTTATACATATTACCCCATCTGTTTACCTTTTTGAAATACATAATGATGTGTTTATTTTCAGGATTACAGCTCTGCTTTACTCAAAGTGCCATTTTCTGGACCAAACTATCAGCTTTTTTATGTTCGGTGGTATGGCAGACTTGTGTTGCATTGAAGCTTTTATTTATAAGAAATGTACAACACAAGGATGTTAGAAATAGCTTTGCAATAAAGGAAGCCCTGTGGTGGAAGCCAAGGGGCAACAGTGGATAAATTGTGCAAAAGGCTGCTTGTTTGGAAATCACATTTAATTTAAAAGAACTTTCAATCACTAGTTAATATAACTGCTTTAAATTTACAGACAGTGGGAGTAGCTCACCGCTACCCAAGTATGCTTCATCTCCCAAACCAAACAACAGCTACATGTTCAAACGGGAGCCCCCAGAGGGATGTGAGCGAGTGAAGGTCTTTGAGGAAATGGCGTAAGTAATGTCTTTTCTATCAGCTGGGGTCTGCAAAGCTGTGAAGCTTTTTACTGAGACCAGTTGATTACAGATGAATCAACTACTCCGTCCAGCTGATAATGTGTTTCAGGAGCAACTTATGGAAACAGAATTCAGTAGGCCAAAGAGATCTGACTTAAGGAGAAATTAAGTCTGTGTGCTGGAAATACGCTAACACAGAGAAACTTGGAAATTCATCCCTCCTACCTAAAAGATCAAGTTTGAATCTTTAAGAATTTTCCTTTCACAAGCTCTGTTAATTTAGATGGCTGAAGAAAACCCACAGGTGTAGCAGCATGGTGAACACCCACATGTGCGTAGGCTTCACGACAGCGGCCCCGCCCGCCAGAGGGGCTGTCTCCCCGCCGTAGACGCATCTAGCGTGTGTATTCATTGAATTCAGACTTCCTGCTCACAGATGTTTTTTTTATTCTTTTTGGAAGTTCAGTATGTATAAAATAGAAAACTTCAAGGGAAAAGACTGATGCTATAAATACTTGGCAGAACAGCTCCAAATAAAAGAGTGTGCGGCTCCTGGGTTCACTCGCCCCCGCCCCAGTGCAGGCTCGCCCGCCAGAGGCTGCTGCGCCCCTGTAACCTCCAAGGGGACAGAGGCCAGTCTTACACGAGTGACGGCGTAGTTCCCGGGGGGCTTGTGGGCGCTGCTCTGTTGGGCTGACTGGCTCTACAAGAAGCTACTGAAACTTTTTTCTTATTTCTCCTGATCTGTGTTATTAGAAGTACGTATAGAGATACAGAAAAAGGAGGAAGTACTTAAAACCAAATATCCGATGGGGTAATCCCTCTCCCATGTACTTAGCAGAAGAGGTCATTTTAACACTGCATAATCCACGTTTCTAAAGAAATGAGAGCACTAATCTCAGAAACATTTCTGTCTGCCCAGTCCTTTAGAGAATCCTTTTGTTTTCAGTATCACCTCGGTGCTGTGTACGTCAGTAGTATGCCAGCTGACTTGTGCTATGGAAGATGTTTATCCCTCTGTGTACACTGAATCCATTCCCTGCCATTCACATTTTAGCCGTTTTAGAGAACACCAGTTAATTTGGAAAATACTTGACTTTTTTAATGATTGTAAAACCTAATTTTGTTTTATGGTTTTAGGTCTCGTCAGCCTATCTCAGCCCCTCTCTTTTCATGTCCTGACAAAAACAAGGTTAATTTCATCCCAACCGGATCAGCTTTCTGTCCTGTAAAACTCCTAGGCCCTCTCCTCCCTGCGTCCGACCTGATGCTCAAGAACTCTCCTAACTCGGGCCCGAGCTCGGCGCTGGCCACCCTGACCGTCGAGCAGCTCTCCTCCCGGGTTTCCTTCACGTCCCTTTCCGACGACCCCAGCATAGCGGGCTCCGCTGAGGCCTCTGTCCCACAGCCGTCGCAGCAGCAGCAGTTCCTGCAGGAGCTGCCGGCCGAGGACCACGTCTCCGCTCACAACTACATGGTCATCTAGAGTGAGGGGGAGCGGGCCTCCGCCCTGTGTCCCACACGCTAGGAACTAGATCTCAGACACCTATCTGCATGGAGTGACCAACTTTCCGCCACCACCACCACCAACAGAATACTTAGAGTCAGCAAGCATCTCAACACTTATCTTGGCAGGGACGGAACTCCTATTCAGCAGTTTTTGTGGAAAGCAGTAATGCTTGCAAAATGTGTGTATCATTCAGCATTCAAAGTGGAGACTATGCATTTCATAGTATGTTTGACAGATTAGTACTGTGTCCTCGTTTTGTCCCCAAATCTTCAGTATAAATAAGCTCTATATCAGAAAGTTGCCTGTCTAAATGGAAAATGTCTTGCTGTGTTTTGTCCTATGGAAAAAATACTGTACTTCAGGATTATGTTTACAATTGATCCAGGTGTTTGTTTCTAACTTCTGTAATACATACAATGCAAAAAATAAATAAATGGCCACAACAGTTGCACAGGGCCCACCCTGGGGCCTAGCTTCAGGTACTTCAGTTGAAGTCTAAACTCAGGTAACTTGGAATGTATATCATATTGGGATCTTAACTATTTCACAGCTAAAAAGCTAAAGAGGGAACAGCACTCTTTGCCTTTTCTTCTTTTATGCATTTCCCTTTCCTCATTACATTCCACATTCTTAGAATAAGAAGTGCATTCAACCCTAGGAGAACAGAAATCCTGGACATGGGTGAACGCGAGGAGAACCAGCAAATCCGTGGTGTCTGACATCACTTTTGTCACGCGGTTACAAGTAAAACAACTGTTGCATTCACTGTTTCAACATGTGTAAATGTGGCTTTTTTTGGTTTGTTTCAAACAAGTTCCGGTGTTGCTCAGTTAATGACTGATACAATGTTGCGAATAAAGTATCAGGTATAGGCTGTATAAAACATTCCCCCAGTGTGTGTGTGGATGTTAAAGACAAGAATGTCTAGGGGTCCTTTTCCCAGAGGATGGCTGAGGTTTTTTGTTTATGTTGGCCATCAGGGTTATGAAATGCTACTGATCTATCTAAAGGCGTAGTCACCTTTCGTTTCTCTGTCGGACATTCTTGAATCTGCAGGTTAAGAAATGACACACGTTGGTTATTTTCCTCAAGCAGTTCAGGTGCATGAGTTGTTTTAATGTAGAGAGAGCAATGTGAGTGTCAGAATTCAAAATAGGTTATTTGATGACTTGCAAGTGTAAGTAGTGTGGAGCTGTTTCATTTAAGCCTCTCATAACAATACCATGAATACTTCTGTTCATATTTTGGAAGCATGGAGTAAACCATAAACCCAAGTAAAGAGCCTTGAACCTGCAGACTTGACCTAACTTCTTGAAGTGTGAAGAGAGCCCTAGATGTTCCTGATTGGTCAGCGAAAGAGCCCAACTTCTGACATTGTTTTCTGCAGCACAGAGTATATTCAAAAGCGGAGAGAAGTTTCTGTGTTTTTATTTCATTGCTTTCAGTTCAATAAAACAGTTGTTTCATCTGCACCTAAAGTGTATGGCACAATTTTCTTAAGAATTAGGGGAACAAGGTGCCTACAGTTACAGGAACGTTTCAGTTCCTTTCAGTCATTCCTGGGTTTTTCTTTATTTTATAAGGAGGTTGAAGAAGGAAGATGTGATAAAGAAGAAAGCAACACCATTGATTTTTTTTTTTTAAGAAATGGTATATATATGTGTGTGTATATGTATGTGTATGTGTTCAGTGTATTATTTTGTCATGATCCCAACTATCTTCTGTCCACCAAAGTTTGCAGTAATATTCTCTCCTGAAGGTGCATTCTGGCTCCTTTAAGTTAGTCAGTGTTATATCGTAGGAGACTGGCATGGGAAAGGACTCAGTTTACTTTTACCATTTAACAGGGGAACCTTTTAAAACAATCGATTCAGCAGAAGACACCTTTAACCCTAATAATCTCAGGCCTTGATGAAAATACTATATTTTGTAGATTATGGTTAAAGGCAGAAAATTATTAGTTCTGTAAGATAAATATGAGCTCCATTAACTTCTGATATCTGGTTTAGCATTACATAATGTGTTGATCTTATACTCTGCTTTTGTCCAAATAAGATGCAATAGTATCAATATCAATTTCTGAACGATGGACTGAATATGCTTTTTTTGGTAATGAAATCTGATGTACGATATTTATAGTGACGTGCTTTTATTTTCTCATGAGAAAACTAAATATTGTGTTGTACATTTGTTCTTAGCATATATTAAAGTTTTGAACCAAATGTGTTAAAGCTTATGCTTTGCCATGTAAATTTCCCAGAAGTTGTTGAGCTCAAATGTATCCTACATCCAGCTGTAGAAATTTGTCAGAGATTGTTTAAATTTTGTATATAGTTGTACTGTTTAATTCTACACTGCGCTGAACAGTATTCGAGTTACCATACAATATGGCTTTACACAAGGAAATGTGTGGCTTTTGTTTTGTATTTTTTCAGTATAGAAGTTCCTGTGTCTTCTTATTTAAATAAAGTTATTAGTAAAACTGGAACAGCTCACTGTGTTTTTGGAAAGACTGGGCTTTTAGCATCTTACCTGACAAGGATGAATTCAGCTCTCGGGTTGGAGGTACACTGACTGGATTAGATTTCCACAGCCTGGTTTCCTCTTGACATTTAATTTACATGCTTTCCATCACAAGCTAAGAAACGTGATGTCTCAAGTTCCAAGTCTTTGTTCTGTTCCCAGCTATGAGCATCTTAAAAAGAGAAGACAGTGTCCCCATGTCATCATTTTATGCCTAAGACTTATTTACGAAAATAAGCTTGCGTTAATGAAATCACCACAAAGGAAGTTACAGGAAAATTTTTAAAAAAATGTTCACTCTTTATTTACAGAGCAAAAGAGTGTTGATGTTTTTCCCAGTTACCTAAATAGAGTAGGCCACGTGGTGGCCCAAAAGCAAAAACTAACTGCTTTGAGAAGTAATTTGCCAGCAGCAATAGTCTTCATTTCCAAAGCACCTCTCACTGAAAAGATTTGACTTTTAAATCGAACCTAAAATGACTATGTTTAGGGTTTTAAAAAAAAATAAATATAACTTTTTAAGAGTGAGTTTGATCAATTGTCTTCTTCAGGACAATATATGACTTAGGCAGGGAATTATCTACTGCATACAAGTTAAAAATTCCACTGCAAATGAATGTGAAGAAAAAGTGGAATTTCAGCCCCATCTCTGCTTGATCATATAAGCTTAATATTAAATGGCCCTGAGACAAGTTAGTATCTGCAAAATCAAACCTAAGGAACAAGGAAGGAGAAATTCTAAGAATTTTGTTTTATGTTTAAGCCTATGGTACTAGAAATAAAGGTTATTTATGAATATCACAAAATAAATGTTTACCACCACCCACAGTGTGAGGTGAGGTCTAGCTCTGAAGTCTGGTTATCCTCCACTTACTCCCTATAAGCAGCTTCTATCTCCTACCCCATCTTTGGACCTCACAAGTCTGTCTTCCCTGGTAAACTCACTTTGGTGAACTTAGGGTTCCTTAGAACTACGGGAACTTCATGAAGGTAGATCCCGTAATTCACACCTTGAGTCAAAAACTGAATGCCATAGTCTAGCCCCACAGTTCCAGATAGCCAACAAGCATCTCCTCTCGGACTTCTTGCTTCATTTCAACTTCAGTGATTAAAAGGAATGAAGATACTCTTGTTCCCGTCACACCAAGTTAACTCTTCTCCTTCACACTTACGTTCCTTCTGTTTCCCAGAAAACGAGGACTAGAATACTATTTTCTGACATTTTCTTCACCTAAATCAGAATTGCCTGTCTTCCTACTATCTCACTGCTAAATATCAAGCTGCTGGAGCTGTGATGGTGGTAGATAAGACAGCCATGCCATGTGGATGAATTTCTTTTGAAATAGGATTCATATGGCAAGAAAAATAAGTTTGCTGGACTTCCAAAAATCTCTTCAGCTGTAGACTAGGGGTCAACCAACCATAGCCCATGGACCAAATCTTCCTCAATGCCTATTTTTATAAATGTCTACATTTATACTGTCTGGTGGCTCAGATGGTAAGGAATCTGCCTGTAATGCAGGAGACCCAGGTCTGATCCTGGGAAGTTGAGAAGATACCCTGGAGAAGGAAATGGCAACCCGCTCCAGTATTCTTGCCTGGAGAATCCCCATAGAAGAGCCTGGCAAGCTACAGTTGTCCGGGTTGCAGAGTCAGACATGATTGAGTGACTTAACACACACACACATACACACATACTGGAACAAAGCCGCACTTAGTTTCTTATGCGCTCCTTTGGCTACTTTGCTGTACAATGGCCGAATTAAGTAACTACTACAGAGACACTGTGGCTCACAATGCCTAAGATATTTACCATCTGGTCCCTCAGATATACAGATGACACCACCCTTACGGCAGAAAGCAAAGGGGAACTAAAGAGCCTTTTGATGAAGGTGAAAGAGGAGAATGAAAAAGCTGGCTTAAAACTCAACATTCAAAAAAATGAAAATCATGGTATCTGGTCCCATCATTTCATGGCAAAAAGGTAGGGAAACAATGGAAACAGTGACAGACTTTATTTTCTTGGGCTCCAAAATCACTGCACACAGCAAGCAAGATGCTTGCTCCTTGGAAGAAAAGCTATGACAAACCTAGACAGTGTATTAAAAAGCAGAGCCATCACTTTACCAACAAAGATTTGTATAGTCAAAGCTATATTTCCAGTAGTCATGTATGGATGTAAGAGTTGGACTATAAAGAAGGCTGAGCACCGAAGAATTGATGCTTTTGAACTGTGGTGTTGGAGAAGACTCTTGAAAGTCCCTTCTGCTGCAAGGAGATCAAACCAGTCAATCTTAAAGGAAGTCAATCCTGAATATTCATAAGAGGGACTGATGCTGAAGCTGAAGCTCCAATACTTTGGCCACCTGATGTGAAGAACTGACTCACTGGAAAAGACCCTGATGTGGGGAAAGATTGAAGGCAGGAGGAGAAGGGGACGACAGAGGACAAGGTGGTTGGATAGCATCACCAACTCAATGGACATGAGTTTGGGGAAGCTCCAGGAGATGGTGAAGGACAGGGAAGCCTGGCGTGCTGCAGTCCATAGGGTCACAAAGAGTCAGACACGACTGAGTGACTGAACAACAACCACCCTTAGAGAAAAAACATTTACTGACCTCTGCTATAGACCAAAGAATAAGCTAGATTTAGGTAACTTGTGTCATAAATGTGGTTGTTTCAAAAATATGTCCACAGTCTCTTCAGCTAGTAGTTTTGGTAAAGCTGGACAGTTCAGTTCAGTTCAGTCGCTCAGTCGTGTCCGACTCTTTGCAACTCCATGAATCGCAGCACGCCAGGCCTCCCTGTCTATCACCAACTCCCAGAGTTTAATCAAACTCATGCCCATCGAGTGGGTGATGCCATCCAGCCATCTCATCCTCTGTCGCCCCCTTCTCCTCCTGCCCCCAATCCCTCCCAGCATCAGCGTCTTTTCCATTGAGTCAACTCTTCGCATGAGGTAACCAAAGTACTGGAGTTTCAGCTTCAGCATCAGTCTTTCAAATGAACATCCAGGACTGATCTCCTTTAGGATGGACTGGTTGGATCTCCTTGCAGTCCAAGGGACTCTCAAGAGTCTTCTCCAATACCACAGTTCAAAAGCATCAATTTTTCGGTGCTCAGCCTTCTTCACAGTCCAACTCACATCCATACATGACCACTGGAAAAACCATAGCCTTGACCAGACGAACCTTTGTTAGCAAAGTAATGTCTGCTTTTTAATATGCTATCTAGTTTGGTCATAACTTTCCTTCCAAGGAGTAAGCGTCTTTTAATTTCATGGATGCAGTCACCATCCACAGTCATTTTGGAGCCCCCAAAAATGAAGTCTGACACTGTTTCCACTGTCTCCCTATCTATTTCCCATGAGGTGATGGGACCAGTGCCATGATCTTAGTTTTCTGAATGTTAAGCTTTAAGCCAACTTTTTCACTCTCCTCTTTCACTTTCATCAAGAGGCTTTTTAGATCCTCTTCACTCTCTGCCATAAGGGTGGTGTCATCTGCATATCTGAGGTTATTAATATTTCTCCTGGCAATCTTGATTCCAGCTTGTGCTTTTTCCAGTCCAGTGTTTCTCATGATGTACTCTGCAGATAAGTTAAATAAGCAGGTTGACAATATACAGTCTTGACGTACTCATTTTCCGATTTGGAACCAGTCTGTTGTTCCATGTCCAGTTCTAACTGTTGCTTCCTGACCTGCATACAGGTTTCCCAAGAGGCATGTCAAGTGGTCTGGTATTTCCATCTCCTTCAGAATTTTCCACAGTTTATTGTGATCCACACAGTTGAAAGCTTTGGTGTAGTCAATAAAGCAGAAATAGATGTTTTTCTGGAACTCTCTTGCTTTTTAAATGATCCAGTGGATATTGGCAATTTGACCTCTGGTTCCTCTGCCTTTTCTAAAACCAGCTTGAACATCTGGAAGTTCATGGTTCACATACTGTGGAAGCCTGGCTTGGAGAATTTTGAGCATTACTTTACTAGCGTGTGAGATGAGTGCAATTGTGCAGTAATTTGAGCATTCTTTGGCATTGCCTTTCTTAGGGATTGGAATGAAAACTGACCTTTTCCAGTCCTGTGGCCACCGCTGAGTTTTCCAAATTTGCTGGCCTATTGAGTGCAGCACTTTAACAGCATCATCTTTCAGGATTTGAAATAGCTCAACTGGAATTCCATCACATCCACTAGCTTTGTTCGTAGTGATGCTTTCTAAGGCCCACTTGACTTCAC